ACTGACACGTGGCTTCCTTCTTTTTGCTTCTGCTCTTGTGCTTTTTATGGTTATCATAACTGCAGCTGCCAAAAACTTCTGGCTAAATGAGAGATTAAAATACATGCAACAAAATTATTAAGGTTATTCTTCCTAATGCAGTAAGAAAAACTTAGTGGAAATGTTCTCTCTATATGGAAAGTTGGAGTTTTTCTGAGTCTTGAGATGATATTTTTTCTGATTTTTGAAGTTCTTGAAAATACTTTATATTATTTTCCAAATAGTCTTATTTTTACAGTTAATTTTATGTAGGAAAAAAAATTTTTTTAAGTAATGTCTCCATCCATTGTGGGGCTTGAACTTACAGCCCTGAGATCAAGAGTCACAGTGGCTGAGCCAGCCAGGAACCCCTATAGGATAAACTTTCTACATAAAAGTTGAATATGAATTTTAACTCCAACCCCATTTAGTTTGCTTCATTCATCAAATGTTTATTCAGGGCTGTTAGAAATTGTGCTAGGAAATACGAAGATAAACAATCACAAATTGTTAATTCATACTAACTGAAATTATGAGTTTATTTTACTTATCATTTTGAAGAAATAAAATATTTGGAATACCTCTAGATAATAAAATTAATAACATATTCTCTCTATATAAGTAGCTGCTTGCTTTAGAGACTCTGTAAAAATCTTAGTAAGAATTGCTAACTGGTCTTCCCTCCATTAATTAAATGAAATTGTTCATCTACTTAAAAGAAATGATTATGTTTTTCAAGTCTACAATACTCTTTGCTTTATTCATGTACTTACTGATAGAGTCTTTTTTCTTTGGAAAGAAACACTGCCTAATCAGACTTGGTTTACTAATGTTCAAGAATGATAATGATTGCAAATCTAGCTCTAGAATCTTTCTACATTCCTTTTGTGATACAGATTTTTTATTTTTATTTATTTTTTTAATGTTTTTTTATTTATTTTGAGAGAGAGAGAATCCCAAGCAGACTGCGCCATCAGCACAGAGCCCAATGAAAGGCTCAAACTCACGAACTGTGAGATCATGACCTGAGCCAAAATCAAAAGTCAGATGCTTAACTCACTGAGCCACCCAGGTGCCCCTAGATTTATTTTTTAATATGATAAATTATTCTAGTACTCAGAAATAAGATTCTTTGCTGCCAAAGTATACAGAATATCCTGAGTATCTGAAAAATTAATTTTTGTATTGGGAGAGAAGATAGGAGGAGAAGGTAGAGGCCTTTATCGTTAGGAACTTACGTATTTAAAAAGTACTAACATTTTAAAATATGAGAAAACTTGGAATTCCATTTTCAGAAGCTTTACTGTCACTTGTTAATTGAAAATCGTTCTGATGAATTTTCCCTTTACCTTTTGCTTTCCCTTTTTTCCCTGCTGCTTCCTCTGAAGTCTCCTTCCAAATGGTTTTGGAAACTGGTTCCAGTAAGTTTGTCCAGCTACTTCATTTTGCTCTCCAGAATTGAAATTATAGAATGGTATTGTTTATGTCTTGCTGGTATAGTCATTTCATATAATTCTGTTAGTTGCCGCTTAGAGATTGGACTTTAAGGTGTTTGATCATAATGTAAAATAAAAAGATAAAAAAACCTAGCCAAAATTTGGATTAGAAGCTTTAAAAATAGTTTAAGGTAACCATTGTTTTGCTAGTCCTATTGATATTTACAGACTGCCAGTAACTAGGTATAAAAAAATGTATGGATAAAGATTCTCATTAGTTTTAATAACTTTAGGAAAAGTGAGTATAAATGTATATGTAAATTATTTGTATTTTAAAATCTTTTTGAAAAAATCATTTCCTTTGAGCCTGAGTTGTAAGGTACACGTTTTGTGTGATGAAAAGTGACATACTCTCTGTGGTCCGACCAGTATTGGACCTAAAGTATATTCAGTTCTGATTTGACCTGAAGAGTGATTCTTTCAGGATTAAATCTGGGTGGTTAGACCACTTAGGAAATATTTTATACCGTCAGAAATAAAGATACAACTTAGAAATAAACTGTAATGTCAAAAGAGGAAAATATGATGCCCATTTTAAATGCTAAATTTCTAGTTTGTAGAAAGAATAGGGAATGTTTCCATGCAGTAACTTTATAAAGCCATATAGTAAGATAAAGTGCAAAAGACTCTATAACTTTCATGCACTGCAAATGGGAGTTGTACAGGACTTCAAGATTAAAAGTTGATTTACCTGATACATCTTCTAGGATATAAACTTCAGGAAAATGTTTTAGCATACCACTCATAAATCCTTGATAGTCTTTTCTAAACCATTGACATTTATTGCTGAAGCCTTATAAAGCTGTGTGTGTGTATGTGTGTGTGTGTGTGCGCGCGCGCGCACGCACGCGCGCCTTGTATAGAAGTGCTACTTGGCAGTGAGCGGTAGGACAAATCACACAATTCAGTTCTTTGTTTCATGACCCTGTGTGCTCAACTCAGTCCAGTTCAGATTGTAGGGTGAAAACAAGCTACTTCTAGAGGTCTGGGAAGTTTGGGAACGAGCCCAGCCAGTTTAGAGGATTTCTAAGAGGGAGACTATTTTATTTCTAGCTGGCCGGAGAAAGGGGTGTAAGGATCTGGAATTGTGGCTCACCAAATGTGAGAAGGGTAGCTTAAGGCTAGAAGATGCTACTGTTTGATTTCTTCTTTCTTTCTCTCCCCACCCCTTCACCTCTTCTCTCCTCTTTTTTCATGGTTGAATTTTAAACTGTCTACTAGCAGCAAAGTAAGGAAATTTTCTAAGGATATTAAAATCAATCCATCAAAGAATTTATATAATGCACATATGTAATTTTTTTCTGAATATTGGTGCTCTGAGTTTGGAACATAACCATTCAGTGCAGATGCCTAGTGTGCACTGATTAAAAAGAACAAGCTCCTTGAAAATCTTCAAAAGGAAAAAATGTTCCATGACTCTTGTTCTTGGGTAGCCAGTGAGAAATAGGAATAAATATTTCTTCATTAATGCATGTACTTTTTTGAGGGATATCATTTAAAGGAAATTAACTTCACCTAATAGTAAATGTTCTCTTTCAGTAAATTATTTTTCTGTTTTCATTCTCACAGAAGTATTTTACTTCATAATTATAGTTTAATTCTAAAATGTAGAGATGACCAGTTCAGATGCAGTTAGAAGAACAATTAGTTTTGATTACTTTTTTAAAAAACTTATATCAGTAAGCAATATAATCACAAATTTTCCTAAGAAAATGCTTCAGTATGCATCTTCATTAAGTCGTCAGCATTATTTTCTTGGCTTTAGAAAAGCTAGTGGCTAGTAGCAGGCCAGCCTTTAGTTATTGCCAGCTGTGTGCCCAGCAGTGTGCCTGGCACTTTACGGAGGTCACCTTACTTCATCTTCGGTGATCCTATGCAACAGGTACTATTATTATCCCCGTTTTACATATGGGGAAACTGAGAGGTGAGAATTTAAGTGATTTGTCCAAGATCACGGGGCCAGTAAGTGGCAGAAGCAGGATTTGAACCTAGGTCATCTGACTCAAGGGCTCGTTCTTGTCACTACTGAGTTGTACAGCACATCTCAGTGTTAGAAAACTGTCTTATAAAGTTGTATCTGGTCACACCAGGCAGTCTTTGGAAAACAAAAGATTTCTTCTGTTTTTCTGAGGGGGAACAGAAATCCTTACATTTGCTCTGTTTTGAACAAAACCTCATTTGGGAGGGTTTTTGCAGTTTCAGAGTTATTACACTTCATTTACATTATCTTAACATTCAGATATCAAGCCAGAAGATCTTGGTGACATTCCAGTTCCTCAAAGTGATGTTTCTTATTGCCAGATTTCCTGTAGGAATACTATTATATTCTTATACCTGCTCCCCGTCTTGAGAATTCTTACAGTTCTGCTCAAGAAGTGCTTTTGCTCTTACCATGTAAGCACTTGTGATCTAAGTGCTAGCACTAAAATCAGTGAATTTTACTATATACAAAAGAACAGAACTGACGATTTGGATACAGAGTGATAAGAATCTAGTTTGTGATGCTTTTATATTTAAATGTTTAGGCTCAGTGTCATTTCATGTAAATTGGCAATGTCATGTTATATTAAGTACTTTGAAACTGTAATGCGGTTGCTCTGTATTTTACTTTGGTAACATCTGGTATTATTTAGAAAAGAAGGATGTTGGTGAGTAGCTTTTATTTCTCTTGATTTACATTACTGATGTAATGGTGTTTTCATGTATGTTGTTTAGTACTCACTTATTTCCATCTTTTTTTTTTTTTTTTATTGTAGGCTCGTTATAGGAAGGAGCAAACATTGCTCAAGCAATTGCCTTGCATCCCATTAGTAGAAAATTTGTTGAAAGATGGTACAGATGGCTGTGCTCTAGCTGCTCTTATTCATTTTTACTGTCCTGGTGTGGTCAGATTAGAGGGTAAGTGTTCCAGTGAAATCCTGCTGGACTACAGATAGATGGTAACAGATATTAAGACAACAGTATTTAGAAAGTAATGAAGACTTTTTTAAAAAGAACTTTTTTACGTATCATCCTGAGGAAGATAGTTGAGTATGGCAGTGCTAAGACTTTTTGTGTCATGAGTACTCTGTTTGTATACGTGTGTAAACCAGATTCCACATAACTGTGCATTTGTTCTAAGCCACTAATTATAAGATGAATATGAAATGTATATTATCAAATTAACCCAAAGTCATCACCTTGCTCTCTTCCTGTTTGAAGATATTTGTTTGAAAGAAACCATGTCTTTGGCTGATAGCCTGTATAATCTGCAGCTGATTCAAGAATTTTGCCAAGAATATTTGAACCAGTGTTGCCATTTCACCCTGGAAGACATGCTGTATGCTGCTTCATCCATAAAGGTAATTTATTCTTGTGGGTTTTGTGGTGTTTTGCTCGAAGTTTTTTGAAAAAATATAACTAAACGTATATAAATGGCTTAGTAATGTGACAAATTAACTAATATCAGTCAAAAGAGCTTTTGAAAAAAGTTTTATTTTTCTGCTTATTTTATGTGTGTGTTTTTAAATACATTATTAGCTATAGGTTTCTTTTACAATGCAAAGTTTAACTTAAAGTTGTAATACAAAATTGATCTGTTGCCCTAATGTTAGCAAGACGGAGGATAAGCCAGTACGTGTTTCTGAGTCTTCGGTAGATGCTGGTGTAGCGTAGTGGGAGCATGGAGGAGGTTCTGGCCACTTTCACCACTCAACAGGACCATGGAATACGTCCGGAAGAAGGAATCTTTCAGGTCCTAGGACTTGAGACAAAACCTAGGGAAAGAAAGAAGGGAAGGAAATGTTAAAATAGCCTGGAAATGAACCTTTTAAAAAGGAATTCAATTTCATGAATTTGTCCTTTGCTTCAGAATAGCGTACACACACTGCCTGTGAGTTTTAGGCCACTGCTTACTGCTATTCTTTCAAGAACTATTTATTGAGCACCTAGTAGTAGTCTGTATGCTTGGGATAATTAAGTGGACAAAACAAAGATCTGTCCTGGTGGAACTTACTTTGTAGTAGTGATGAGAGATGTATGTCAGGCATAACTGCTTCCAAGCTGCAAGTTAAAAAGCAGCTACTTGTCCCAGAATTTCATGATGTGACACAATACCTCATTATTCCCAGCAGCCCGTAACTACAAAGTTCCTTTATGTCTTTTTACAGACCAAGTTGACCACTTCTGTTTCAGGATTTTAGGAATAAATCATCTTATGATAGATATTTTTTTTTAAGTATGGCTGAGAGGAACAGCTTTTTATCATTTCAATCAGTGTCAGCCTTAATAGAAACTGCTAATGGACCCCTCTTACCATAAGACTAGTGCCTTGGGTTTCTTTAAATTCTTATTCTCTGATATCTGTTTTTCTTTCACTCCTTTCTGGATCATCGCAGGTAGAAGACAGAGCCAATGGTAAAGGCATTTCCAAAAGAAGCCACTATTTCTATTGACAGAAAATAGTGCCCACTCCCCACTATCTGATGCATCAAAAGAAAAACGTTAATTTATTTTGATAAAAATGGAAGTTGGGGAATAACTATTTCCATATATATTTTGTTAATGGCTTTTCTTAAACTTGCCTGTTAAAAAATGTAAATACCACCTCTGTAATCACAAAGAAATCACCTCATTAAATACATGGAGACATAAGATCAAGTACATTTGTTTAAGATGTTTACCTTGTACTACCAATAAATAACAGTTAGCCCTGATATTTAAATCAACTTAGTTGGGCATGATCCAGATATAAAGACATTTTCTTACATCAGGCATATTTAAAGTAGATAACTGACAGATACACCTGTCAGAATGGCTAGAATCAAAAAGACAAGAAATGAGTGTTGGTGAGAATGTGGAGAAAAAAGAACCCTTGTGCACTGTTGGTGGGAATGCAACTTGCAGCCACAATAGAAAACCACATAGAGGTTCCTTAGACAACAGAACTACCATATGTATGATTCAGTAATTCCACTACTTGGTATTTACTCAAAGAAAATGAAAACACTAATTCAAAAAGAAATATGCACCTTATATTTATTGCAGCATTATTTACAATAGCTGAGATATGGAAGCAGCCCAAGTGTCTATTGATAGATGAATGGATAAAGATGAAGTATACATGCACACACATATTACTCAGCCATAAAAATTAATGAGATCTTGCCATTTGCAACAACATGGATAGACCCAGAGGGTATAGGGCTAAATGAAATAAAAAAGAGAAAGACAAATATCATATGGCTTCACTCATATGTGGAATTTAAGAAACAAAACAAATGAACAAAGAAAAAAAGAGACCAAAAAAAAAAACAAAAACCCAGACTCTTAGATCCAGAGAAAAAACTAGTGGTTGCCAGAGGGGAGGTAGGTGGAGGGATGGGTAAAATAAAGGGGATTAAGAAAAAAAACAACTGTCTGCAGAGGCGGCTTTGGTCACTTTCTGTATTCTTTGCTAAATTATTAGAATCAACTTTGACTTTCATTGAATATTTTAAGACTTCAAGCCTTTAAGGGATGCTTGGTCCATGATACTGGGCACCTTGTCACTTGGTTAACTGTAGTAACAAGTGTTTATGAGAATAAAGGAAATGAGCACTCTCTTCCCCTCTTGGTGGAGGTATACACTGGCATGGGCTTTTTAGGTGGCAGTGTGCCACTATCTAATCAAATCTGAAATGCACAGAAGTCATGTATGAGGACTGTGGATGGTGAATAATTAGAAACTTCTAATTCATCTTAGGAAGGCCATAATTAAAATATTTTGTTATACAGCCAAGCTGTTTAAAAGAAGGAGGTGTAGGTATTTTTACTGATTCAGAAAGCTCTCAAAGAGGTTATTAAAGTAGCAAACATTATAATAGCATGATATAATTTATATATTAAAAACAGTTTTTTCTATTTGTATGCAAATCAATGCATAGGAAAAGGTCAATTAGAAAGATAAACAGAAAACTGTTAACAGTGATTTCTTCTGAGTGTGAATAGAATTTAGGGGAGAGTAGTTAAAGCATACTTTATATTCTATGTTCTTTGTATTTTTTAGCATTGTTTACATTGTTTAAGAATGTTAATGTATAGTTGCATGACTGTCTTAAAGCTTCTAAATGAAATTAATTTGGCATAATGCCTGGAAGATGGTAATGGATTTATTGCTGTTTAATCATAAATTCAGAAAGAAATGATTTTTTTAACCTTTAGTTATGGAAAAACTATGTCTTGCTATGCTGACATCTTGTGGCCAAACATGGTATCTTCCAAAAAAAAAAAATACCGAACTATCCCCCAACTCCCTGCCAAGCTTTATTGGATATAATTGACATACAATATTGTATAAGTTTAAAGTGTGAAAAATGATTACCGCTGAAGATTAGTTAACACCTCCACCACATAACATAATTACCATTGTTTTTTTGTGGTGATCTACTCTTTCAGCAACTACTGATTATACAATATAGTATCATTAACTATAATCATTAGATTCTCAGTTATTCACTTAAGAGTTGGAAGTGTTTACCTCTTGGCCAAAATTTCCCCATTTCCCCAACCCCATCATCCCTGGTAAATACCACTCTACTTGTTTCTAGGAGTTCAGCTTTTTTAGATTCTACATATAAGTGAAATCATATAGAATTTGCCTTTCTTTGTCTAACTTATTTTACTTAACACAATGCCCTCAAGATACATCAGTGTTGTTGCAGATGGCAGGATTTCCTTCTTTCTCATGGCTGAGTAATATTCCATTGTATATATGCATCACATCTTCTCTACCCATTGATCTCTTGACAAACATTTAGGCTGTTTCCATAGATATATATGTATCTTGGCTGTGATAAATAATGCTGCAGTGAATACAGGAATGCAGATTTGTCCTTAAGATCCTGTTTTCCATTTCTTCAGATAAATACTCAAAAGTGGAATTGCCAGATCGATATGATAGTTCTATTTTTAATTTTTTGAGGGATTGCCACACTGCTTTCCACAGTGGCTGTACCAGTTTACATTCCCACCAACAATGGACAAGGGTCCCCTTTCCTCCGCATCTTTGCCAACACTTATTATTCTTTTTGATGATAGCCATTCTAACAGGTGTGAAGTAATTACTTCCTTATAGCTTTGGTTTGCATTTCTCCCATGCTTAGTGATTTCAAACACCGAAGTCCTTAAAATATTAATTTCTTATCAATTGACAATTTAGTTGAACACTTAAATAGTGTTTTTCCAAAAGATATAGACAGCTTTCAGTTAACTATACTAGTATAGTGGAATCTAGGACCAATACTTTAAATATAATTTTATACTTTGGCTTTAGAAAATACCCTGTGGAGATAGGTGTAAAGAAAAACTATAAATCACAGTGATCATACTCCCAGAGATACTACTGCCTGTCAACAATTTGGTAGTTTGCCAGGTGATCTTTTTTGTTATACATTTATTCATTCATTTATACATTCATTAACTGTTGGCCATCTATTATGTACCAGGCACTGGTTCTGTTTGTTTTGAGAGAGGGGGAGAGTGTGTGCATGATCAGGGGAAGGACAGCGAGAGAATCCCGAGAGGACTCCATGCCAAGAGCAAAGCCTGATGTGGGGCTCCATCTCACAACCATGAGATCATGACCTGAGCCAAAATCAAGAATCATAAGCTTAACTAGCTGAGCCCCCACGGACTCCTCAGGAACGTGAGCTTTGTCCTTCTAGGCTTTATAGTCTGATAGAGAACATGAGGAACCCTGGAGAATGTGGTATGAGATGAAGCTGGAGAAATTAAAAAGGGACCCAATCAAGTACCCTTTTAAAGCCCATAACCAGTTTCCCCAGAGTAGTGGAAGGAGAGGAAGGGGTGTTATATTTTGAAAACTTTGTTTGGCTTAACAAGGAAAAAGCTATTGTGTTCTAAACAAGAGATGGAAACAGTTTGAAGCAGAGTAATTATGATGAACACGGAGAGAAATGAGTGGATTCCACAACTATTTAGGATGCAAAATTTGCAGGCTTTGGTGATAAAGTGGATATGTGGAGGGAGAAGGAAGGAGGCATCAAGGATGACTCCTAGATTTCTGGCTTGCATACTGGGATAGTGATGCCATTCAGTGAGATAAGACTGGAATAAGGTTAGATTTGTGGGGGAAATCACTAGTACAGTTCTGGACATTTGAGGTGGCTTTGAGATATCCAAGAGAAAATGCTCCATAGACTCGTAGACCACTGCATATGTAACTACAGTCAGGAGTCCTTTGGCAGCTGATGGGCATGGATGGTAATTCTCAGAGAGGGGAGACATCAGGAGTATCAGATGCTGCTGAGAGGTCAAGTAAGATGAAGACTGAAAAATCTGTGTGATTTAGCAGCATATGTAAATCATTGGTCACTTGAGCAAATGCGGTTTTGGAGGAATGGTGCACCTGAATGCCATACTGGAGTGGATTAGGGATCAGGAAGGATGAAAGGAGATTGTTAGCACAGGCCTACCCTAGAGGAGTGTGTGAAGAGGTAAGAAGGTGGGAGTAAGGAAAAACCGGAGTTACAGAGAGAAGATTTTCTTTTGTTTTTCATGTGGGAGATTTGAGCATGTTTAAAAGCCAAGTAGGAAGGATTCAGTTGAGGGGAAGAATATATAGGAGAAAGAAATATAATTAAAATGTAAAGTTCTGAGAAGGTAAGTGGGATAGGATCCAACACACAGCCTTAAGGATTGTGAGCATTCTTACTTCCTTTCTAAAAAAAAAAAAAAACAAACAAAAAAAAACAAATTTTAATTACTGCTTAAAATAGTATATATTGTGTATGTTTGAATATTCTGGGAATTTATAGTTCAAAGCAAATGCTGAAAGTAGGAAACTTTCCAAATTCCCACATTCAGCCACCTACCTGACAAATCCACTTAATGTCTAATGAACATCTAAAAGCTATTCAGAATTCCTACCACCACCTATTTATCCCAATCTTTCCCATTCCATTAAATGGTACTGTAAGTTACTGAAGACAAAAACCTGAGTCATCCTTGATTCTTCTCTTTCCCTCACTTCCTACACACACAGTATCCTTCTGGAACTATCAGGTAAGAGATGAATATTTGAAAGTCACCATCTTAAATATGAGAAAACAGAGAGTGGATGAACTCTACATGAGAGTACATAGAACCCTGAGGATTATTCATAATAGGTAGGAGGAAGGCAAGGCATTGGAAAACACTGACATTTCCAATGATAATTTTGAAAACTGAAATTTAATATGAAATAAGATCTTACTCATTTAATTAATATTAATCAATAGTAACAATTTTATTAGATGCCAAATACCCACAATTTAAAGGCATATTATTTTAAGTTATAAAAATAGATTTTGTATAGTGCTGTATTTTAAAGTTACCAGATGCCTACAATTAAACAATTTTTCATGTGTATAGCTTTTATGATATATACATCTTAAAATATAAGCTTGTAGTAGAAATGTACTTTTGAGGACCCTCTTAGTCTTTTCTTGTATTTCTTATCATTTTAAGTTATTTTAAAAGTTATTCACATTTTCAAATATAAATCATAAAAGGCAAATGACCTTATTAATACCTTTTCAGAGTTAGGTAGATAAATTATAGAAATGTTTCTGTACATTTCAAAATTAATGATCCATAACCATCTAGAATCATTTTGTTATTTAGTGCCTGTTACTGAGTTTTAGTATCATCAAGCACATAGATACCAGATTAAGTTTTGGAGAAATACCTACGGATCTGGAAAGAGCCACTCTTTGGTGTCAAAGGCTGTTTGTTTATTTATCTTTTTAACATTTATTTATTTTTGGAGAGGCAGAGAGGGAGACACAGAATCTAAAGCAGGCTCCAGGCTCCGAACTGTCAGCACAGAGCCCGACGCGGGTCTCAAACCCACGAACCGTGAGATCATGACCTGAACTGAAGCCAGACGCTCAACCGACTGAGCCACCCAGGCGCCCCTGTTTAAGTTTTTTGTACTGACTTTAGATGAAGAGTGTCTTCTATATTAAAGTTCTACACATAAATGGGATTGCCATTCTGGAAATGTAGAGAAAAGCAGCAAAGAGGTTTTGAATAGCTGTTATAAATATTACCTAGAAGTGCTAATTCTCTATGCCAGATTTAATAGCCTACAGTAGATATACTCCAGTGATGAATGAATGAATGAGATTTAAACCTCTGTTTTAATAGATAAAACAGAAGAAAACTGTATTTATCATTACTTTCTTGGTCAAGTTTTGCCTAATTTTTCTTCTGATTTTCTTAACTCTCTTATACAGAGTAATTACTTGGTGTTCATGGCAGAACTCTTCTGGTGGTTTGAAGTTGTGAAGCCATCGTTCGTTCAGCCTCGTGTTGTTCGTCCACAAGGAGGTAGTGAGTGTTCTGTGAGCAAACAAAATGGAAAGTTATGTAACCTCACCTGGTCATTCTGTTTGAGGGAGTCCCATTACTGTTGCAGAACAGGGGATGAGACATGGGATGCAGGAGAGAACGGCTCTGGATCTGAAGCCTTCTGTTGTGGAACTTTTAGCTTCAGCTGTTTGTCTCCTTTGTTCTTGCTGCATCTTTATCCCCATCTCTAGCTTTTATTCCCCATTAGATTCTGAGTTTTTAATATTGTTACCCAGAATCCACTTAAATGATGGCTTGGCTTTAATCTAGAATTTGAATTTACCATTAAACCCTAAAAAGGATTATATATATATTATGTAAAGCCTGGTATGTTTTGTGATTATAGTACCATGATCTATTGATTACACATAATAAGGAAACTGATATGAAATAAGGTGTTTACTATAAAGATACCTGGAATAAAGAGTAAAAAAAATCTTTCATTTTTCTAAAACAAACAAATTTTCTATTGGCTTCCATTAGGAGACCAGAGGTTTATTTCTGTTGGGGAAAAAGGATCCTAAATTATAAGTTTGGTTCCACTAAGGAATTTTCCTTCAGGGGCTCCTGGCTGGCTCAGTCAGTTGAATATCTGACTTCAGCTCAGGTCATGATCTCACAGTTCATGAGTTTGAGCCCCCTGTCAAGCTTTCTGCTAACAGCTCAGAGCCTAGAGCCTGCTTTACAGTCTGTGTCTCCCTCTTTCTCCCTGCCCTTACCCTGCTTGTGCTCTGTTTTGTCTCAAAAATAAATAAAAAACAAACAGAAAGAATTTTCTTCCAGCATAACTATGGGACCAGTTCTTTCTGCTTCCAGTGGGTGTCCTGCCAGACACAAAATGTGATTGTTGTGTGTCCCAGCTACCTTGCAGCTTTCCTAGGCTCCACATTTTGGTATTTTTCTCACCATTACCTTTTTTTCCTCCCCTATCTCCTCCCTTCCAAAAAAATTAAAAGAAAGAGATCAGGAAGGAGGAAAAAATATGTAGTCCAAGGAGAGGCATGTAACTCTAGTGAGTAGAATGAGCTTGGTTCCAGCTTTCCATCTCAGGGAGAACTCTGTGAAATACCCAATAAAAAGAGTATTTCATCTGTTCCGTATCTAAGCTGCTTAAGGAGGACTCTGAATATTGAGCCATCATGTATCAAAGAACACCTACAAATAAGCTGAGATCCTTCCCTAAGGCCATGAAGTGAAGTCAGGTATCTTTAGTAATTTAGTCAAGATGTCATAACCAATATTTGTACAACTTTTTACAATTAATATAGAATTTCCACAGACATTGCTTTCTGTGATTTTTTTTAAAATGTTTTATTTTTGAGAAAGACAGTGAGCACAAGCAGGGAAGGGACAGAGACACAGGGAGACAGAGAATCCAAAGCAGGCTCCAGGATTTAAGCTGTTGCCTCAGAGCCTGACACGGGGCTCGAACTCATGAAACGTGAGATCATGACCTGAGCCGAAGTTGGTGCTCAGCCAGCTGAGCCACCCATGCAGGGCCCCCTGCTTTCTGGGATTTTTATCTGTGAAGCCCACTATTACATTTCAAAGGCAAAAAGTAAATAGAGTCTTCCCCAGAGTTATTTACAAAACTGGAAACTCAACCAATGGGTTTATATTGACCAGTGAAATTCTCTCTTAATTGATCACTAAAATACCAGCTATTTCATAAAGGAACAAAAATGACTGTATGTAACTGAGATTCTGTGAAAGCTTTAGTGAAATGAGACATTCAGATTTATTTTTAAATATCTGTGTTTAATGTTAGGCCTCTTCCCCACCCACCCCCCACCACTTGGCCTTAATCAAGTGAATTTTTTTAAGCCAGAACACTTTAAGGGTTTTAAATTTTACCTTTGAAAATTATTTAAGAAGAAAATTTTAACTAAAGGAAGATTGAGATTAACTCTTGAAATAATGTTGGAAACACGCTAAGTACATAATTTTGAGGCTGTTATCTTTCATTGCAGCTGAACCTGCAGACGATATGCCTTCAGTTCCCATCCTGAATGCTGCCAAAGCAAACCTCATGGATGGTTCCTGTAGCTCTGACTTCACTTCAAGGTAGATTCCAGGATGACTTCATCCTCACTGTTTCCATTCTACCTGCTAATGAAATAAAAATAACATTTTGTTAGTTTTTAAACTTTCAGTTGCACTTTGAACTAAATAAGTTTCAATTAATTTACTGTGTTATAGCCTGTTTTAACTTAAATGTAATTGAAATTTACACAGAAATGAGTGTTTCATAAATAGGCTTTTAAGAAGCACACTTAAAAGTGGGAGAATACACTCTGAGGTTCAAATAACCAGCTCAAAACCAAACTTTTGCTATAGAACTTGTTTATAATTGAGAACTGCTTAACTCTAGGCAACTTTTAGTCCTCAGTGGAAAATTTTAAAATTCTATTTGTATTTAAAAATTTTTTAATGTTTTTTAAAAATCTTTTGACATTAATTTTCTCTATTTTGTTTGCTGGTTACTATAGCTAATCAAAGATCACAATAAAATGTTTATTGTAATACTAAATCTTGATATGTAATGCTTTGGTTCTTAATATCAGGAACTGAACTGAAAGCAAAGTAAACATTTACTATCAGGATAATCCTGACTTCTGACCCATACATGTTTAAAAATGTTTTTCAGCAGATCCTATAAGTAGCTTTTTATGTGTATTTATTAGAATGTAACATTTATATTGACTTTGGACTCCCTAATTTATCTGATTTTTTTAAAGTTTTAAATCTATGTATTTTATGGTGTTTTAGAAATTCAAGCAGATCCATTAAAAATACATTTTAAACATGATGAATAAGACACTGAAAGTACTTTCTTTATGAATTCTTGGCTTAATGTAAAAACATGGGCTTGTACTGAGCTGTCACCCACTCCTCAACATTTAAACTCCCTCAAGGGAGTGCTAATAAGTGTGAAACTGGAACCTCAACAGAAGACCGAACCCTCTGAATACCCTCCTCCCCTTTGTAGGGCTACGTGCCTCTGACTGGCTAATGTCTGCAAAGTATTTCCTACAAATTAAGCAACCCTTTTACTGCTTACCCCCTGATTTACTACTATGAATTGTCTTACCACTTCCATTAAGTTTTCTATTCTGTAGCTATCTATGCCTGGGATTTTCCACAAAGAGGTTAAGTTAGGATATTGCTGATCTAGGAGCTTCTCTACATTTTCCCCCCCACTGTGGGAAACTTTTTTCTACCACGTGTTAATTTCCTCAGTGTTTTCCTGGGTTGGTTACATAGTGACATTTCCTTTCTTTGAAAATTTAGAAGGCATCTGATATTCTAGGTTATAACTCTTGTATTATTAAATCTTTAAAATCTCTATGGGGCGCCTGGGGGCTCAGTTGGTTGAGCATCCGACTTCAGCTTAGGTCATGATCTCATGGTTCATGGGTTTGAACCCCACGTCAGGCTTTGATGCGAGTCTGCTTGGTATTCTCTTTCTCTAATCCACCTCCCTTGCTGCCCCTCCCCTGCGCTCTCTCAAAAAAACCCCACACATTAAAAGTAAATAAAATGTCTGAAACTTTCCACTTCAAGGCTAGATTACCCCGTAATTACTATTTCTAGGAAACTGAGTTGGACACTCTTCACATTTCTGACACTGGAAAATGTCTTAAGGCCCTCTGGAAGACTCCTCTCTTTTCTGTTTCTCAGATAAGCTGAGTGGCTGCCCTTACTCATTTTTCCTGCAGACGGAAGTCTAAATTCTTTTCCTTGAAGACATACTGTGTAGCTGTCAGTCTAGGATCCTAGTAATCCTCTGGCTTCCGTTAAGTCTCCATGTGGTCCACTGGTGTTGTCCCGTTGTAGAATTTTTCAGGAAGGAGGGGCACCTGGGTGGCTCAGTTGTTTAAGCGTCCAACTCCTTTTTTTTTTTTTGCTTTTTATTTATTTTTCAAACAGTTGATTGTCAAGTTGGTTTCCACATAACACCCAGTGCTCATCCCCACAAGTGCCCTCCTCCATGCCCCTCCCCCCTCCCCCCCCCCACATCCATCAGTCCTCAGTGTGTTCTCAGCATTCAAGAGTCTCATTGCCTCTCTCCCTCTCCCCCACTGTTTCCCTCCTTCTTCTCCCCCACGGTCCTCCATTAAGTTCCTCCTAATCCTCCTATACATGCAAACATATGATATATGTCCTTCTCTGCCTGACTTATTTCACTCAGCATAACACCCTCAAGGTCCATCCAAGATGCTACACATGGCCAGATTTCATTCTTTCTCATTGCCATGTAGTATTCCATCATACGGATAAACCACATCTTCTTGATCCATTCGTCCATTGATGGACACTTAGGCTCTTTCCATGTTTTGGCTATTGTTGAGAGTGCTGCTGTGAACATTGGGGAACATGTGCTCCTATGTATCAGCATTCCTATATCCCTTGGGTAAATTCCTAGTAGTGTTAAGCGTCCAACTCTTGATTTCAACTCAAGTCATGATCCCAGGGTCATAGGATAAAGCTCCCGTGTTGGGCTCCAGGCTCAGCATGGAGCCTGCTTAAGATTCTCTCTTTCTCTCTGCCCCTCTCCCCTGCCTGCATGCTCGCTCAACTCCCTTAAATAATACATAAATAGCTTTTCAGGAAAGAGTCGAAAGTTTCTACTCTTTCTGAGAATAATGCAGTTATATGTACAAATGTGACTGCCTCTAAATAATGAGGTTATGAGGGGGATAAAAACAAAGGAAGAAGACTGGAAAAGCAGAAGTCATTTGTAGCAGCTACTCCACACACTTGACTACTAACCTGCTCAGCAGTTACACCAGATCAAAATTCTCTATCCAGATGTGCAAGTGAGACAAGTAATAGGAATTTAAGACACTTTGACCATTATTTGGAGAAGAGTGAATATATTTTAATTACTAACTTGTATATATTCAGGATTAGCATCCCATCATAGATGTAAGGGAGAGTAGAAACTGGGGCAGTGATTGTAGAGGGAGGGGTAACAAACAAACATGACAGGCAGCAGTTGAATATTCCCTGATAGACCTAACAAATGATTACAGACAAAACTAAGAGAAAATGTGGTACGCAGTTTAGGGGAAAGAGGCACAGGGAAGCAGAGAAACATCTGCCTTGGAGAGAATGCCAGTTCTTCAGGTGGTGTTGCCTTTAGAAGGGCTCACTGATTCACTGTTGTTTACTTTTGAATTTTTTGGTTGACTAGTGCATCTTCTCAGTTTACAATAGCCAAAAGATAATGGGATTTGAGGGATCTACAGAAGTCACTACAGACAGCCTGTTCCCCAATTTATTCTCAACTGATTGGAGGTGCGAATGCTTCACTTCTTCAATTGACCACATGATAGGCTATGACAGACTGGAAACGTGGAGAAAATCTAAATTGGAGCCAAATGTCATTATTAATTTGAGAACTAGACTACTTAATCCCCTGAGTTAATTCAAATAGGGTGGAATTAAATAAGAAGAAATAACAGGAAAGCTTCACATTTTTATAGGCATTGAAGTCTTCAAGGTGCAGCTCACAGTATTCGTTTTGATATGATTGTTAGAAATGAACAGACGCAGGTCTGTGAGCAGGGAGGGTGCCAGGATCTTTTACAAGGGTTTATTATACATGTAGTTTCTAGAGATTTAAATTTGACCAAAGTAGTTCAAACTGATGACTTTCATTTAACTTCATTTCTCAGTTTTTCTGTTTGTAAATTGAAAATAATATGCCATATCTTATCTCACAAGGACACTGAGGTGTGTATGAAAATACTTCAGGCTCTTTGACTAAAAGAGATAAAATACAGATACATATATGTACAGCTATTTTTCATTTAAATAATATTTTTTTATTTAGGATGAAGTGTAAGAGATGATGTTTCTAATTTCAGCCATTTTATGCAAAGTTTATATAGAAGAACTAAAACATGTTGAAATGTTTTTAATTTATTTTACATTGCAGTGGGGAAGGAGCTGCATTTACACACTCTCATCATTTGCCTTCTAGACATTCACACCCCCAAGCTCATTCTTCAGCCTCAGGTAATAGTTTTGAAAAAGCCTCGGTTAACTGGGAAATGATTGAGAATAAATGTAAATAAAAATATCCAGTCTTTTTTTTTTTTTTGAAAAGTGTTATATACACACTAATAGGTTGATCTGTTTCTCTGTACTTTTCTTAATAAAACGACCTCTATTTCACTAATACTTTTTAGTGCTATTAATCTGCAGATATTTGAAATCTGTTAAGTTGCTATAAGTTAAAAATTTTTACATACTTTCAATGACTTTTTCTATTTTGCATTTGAAGGAGGAATTAGAAGGTCTTCATCTATGTCCTACGTTGATGGTTTCATAGGGACATGGCCCAAAGAGAAAAGGTAAACAAAAGGAATTATTTTTAGTATATTCACATTATCAATAAATGCAGTTTACTGAATTGCTATATTGTGTACCTGCAACTAATATAACATTGTCAACTATACTTTGGTAATTAAAAAAAAGAGAAAGAAATGCTAATTCTATTTTGTTGATAACCAAGTTGCAGTAAAGTTTTAATTAATACCTAACTCTGAAAAGGACAGTATAGCAAATGGAGCTCAATTTGTTAAAGGTAGCCTGGGAGCCCTGGGCTTACTTTGAGGACAGTAGGATTATGAGAAATGAGAACAGAAAGGAAATTAATTTCAAGTAATTATTAAAGGATTATCAAATCATTTCTGGGAGTGTTTATAAGGATTTTCTCTTTTAAATGTTTTTTAGATCATCAGTGCATGGAGTTTCATTTGATATTTCTTTTGATAAAGAAAATACTGTACACAGATCCACTCCAAATCGAGGAATCACTCGTTCTATTAGTAATGAAGGACTTACTCTGAACAATAATCGTCTATCTAAAAATATTAGGAAAAATTTGTCCTTCAAGCCAGTAAATGGAGAAGAGGAAGCAGAAAGCATTGAAGAAGAACTTAATATAGACTCTCACAGTGACCTCAGATCTTACATGCCCCGTAATACAAATGAACTTAATTCTAATGAGAATATTCATTACAAGCTTCCAAACGGAGCTTTACAAAATAGAGTACTTCTAGATGAGTTTGGCAATCCGATTGAGACACCAAGCATTG